ACATAATTAACAGTGACAGTGACATGACTCAAACAAACTGATTGTAGCCATTGGAGAGGAAAAAATCCTTTAAACGGAAACAAAAAAATCTTTTAATAAGAAACCCCACATGAAAAGTATCCAACGTTCAAATTACAGGTGAAACAAATTCACAAGAAAATTTGAGAGATTTTTCAATTGAATTAAAGAAAAAAAAAAGGTGGAAACTTTATTGCTTTTAGGCCATAAAAAGATGGAAAGTAAAGTAAGAGGAGAAGAAGAAGAGAGACAGAAAGTGGAAAGATTGGTGGAAAAGTTAAAGAATCATATTAATAATCGATCTTCAACTCCGGCGCACATTAGCTTCGTCCCTAACTCAATCGTTGTTTCCTCTAGAAAACTCGCTGCTGCTTTCTGGGAGTTTCATCAATACCACTACCAAGAAGATTGCTCTTACCTCTCCTCTGCTTCTGCTAGAATGCACCGTGGGGCGAATGGTTTCGCCGGAGCTAGTAACCGCCGACAACGTCACGGCAAAGCGGTGGCGGTTAAGGAGAATGGTCTTGACCTTTCTCAATTCCTTCGAGATCCTTCTCCTGATCATCAGGTCTCTCTCTAGGCTTTTTTTTTTTTCCCGACTATGGATCGATTCATTCATTAGCTCTGATGCTGTATCAATCGGTTTATGATTATGGGTTTTGCTAAAGTTTGGATTTTGAAAAGTGGGTCTTGATGAAAATTGTGAGATTTTTGTTCTTCTGGCTTTAGTCTAGATTTACTCTGTTCTTGAATCTTAACACAATGTGATTGTTGCTGATGTTGCAGTTAGAGGTTATGGTTCTTTTTTCTGATCAATGACGCGGTTTGGTTTTGGCATTGTCTCAGCCAGATAGTGCGGGAAGTCTAAGGAGGCAGATTGGTCAAATGTTGATAAAGCATCATCAATCAATCGAACGAAACAATCACGCGCTTCAGCCTGTATCTCCTGCTAGTTACGGAAGCTCTCTCGAGGTTCAAACAATTGAATATTTGATTGTGTTTTGGAGATTTGTTTGTATTTTTACTTACGGATTTACGGTTTTGCAGGTTACGACATACAACAAAGCGGTAACTCCAAGTAGTTCATTGGATTTCCGAGGAAGAGCGTCTAGAGAACCTCATTACAATCTCAAGACATCAACCGAACTTCTTAAAGTATTGAACCGTATTTGGAGCCTTGAGGAGCAGCATGTCTCCAATATCTCTTTGATAAAGGCTTTGAAAACCGAGGTGGCTCATTCTCGTGTTCGAATCAAGGAGCTTCTTAGGTACCAGCAAGCCGATAGACACGAGCTAGACGGTGTGGTGAAGCAACTCGCTGAAGAAAAGTTGTTGAGGAAGAATAAGGAAGTCGAGCGGATGAGCTCTGCTGTTCAGTCTGTGAGGAAAGAGCTGGAAGATGAGCGGAAGCTTAGAAAACGTTCTGAGAGTTTGCATAGGAAATTGGCACGAGAGCTCTCGGAAGTGAAGTCTTCGTTGTCTAACTGTGTCAAGGAGCTTGAGAGAGGGGCTAAATCAAATAAGATGATGGAGCTACTCTGCGATGAGTTTGCCAAAGGGATCAAGAGTTACGAAGAGGAGATTCACGGTTTAAAGAAGAAGAATCTTGATAAGGATTGGGAGGGTCGAGGTGGAGGAGATCAGTTGGTTCTTCATATTGCGGAATCTTGGCTTGACGAAAGGATGCAGATGAGATTAGAAGGTGGAGATACATTGAATGGTAACAACAGATCAGTGTTGGATAAGCTCGAGGTTGAGATAGAGACATTTCTTCAGGAGAAGCGGAATGAAATACCGAGAAACCGCCGGAATTCACTTGAATCTGTCCCGTTCAACGCCTTGAGTGCACCACCGCGGGATGTAGACTGTGAAGAAGACTCTGGAGGAAGCGATTCGAATTGCTTTGAGCTCAAGAAAGCTGCAGAGTCTCATGGAGACGAAACTAAGAAACCAAACCAACTTAACAAAGACAGTTTGATTGATGAAAAGGCGAAAAGCCCGTCGAGTTTTCAAGTTAACTTTGAGGATCAAATGGCGTGGGCAATATCGAGTAACGGAAAGAAGAAAACCGCCCGAGCTATTGAAGACGAAGAAGAAGAAGATGTAAAGCCTGAGAACAGCAACAACATTAAGAAACCAGAAGATGAGTGTGCTACTACGAACAAGAACGATGTAATGGGGGAAATGATTCGAACACACAGAAGGTTATTGTCCGAAACTCGTGAAATCGATGAAGCGTCTTGCAATTTCCCATCTTCTAGAAGACAAGCAAGTCCAGTTCGACAATGGATTTCAAGAACAGTGGCACCTGGTCTTCTAGGCTCGTCGGATATTGCGATAGCTCATGGAGTAAAGGATAATACTTTGAAAACTAAGCTCGCAAAGAGTTCAAAGTCGCGTCTTCGGTTATTCAAAGGCTAATCCATCCAGAGTGGTTCGGTCGAAAACGAGAGTTCTTGTTGGATACACACAGATCCCTGAATTTCATTCATATTCATGTTCTTTGTAAATCAAACACATCTATATATTTGTATAATTAATTATAATCGATTGCAAGTTTTTGGATTATTTAATAAGCCAAGGTGAAGTCTGTTTTTTTTTTTCTGTTGGTCTGTTGGAGAGCGGAATATTTGAAACTGCGACGTTTAGAATTGAGGCCCAGTGAGGCCCAATAGTAATTGTTTCAACGTATTTACTATCTCTCATTCCATAAATTACTTTTTTTTTTTTTTTTTCATCCGAACTTAATTAACGTTCAAAAGAACCATTCATTGGGAATGTTATTTACATATGTGACATAAAGCAATTCTGTACGCACTTTTCGTATCAGATTATCCGCTTTTACGACTACGAGAAACTAAAGATAAAGAGAAGGTTAGAAATTCTTCCTTGTCACTCTGAAATTCCTTCAAATACACTGAAAACGCCGGTTATTCGGTTGAGGAAGACACCATCTTTACTAGGTTTGAACCGTCTGTTAAGAACGTTACCTCTTGATTATCTGCATTAATCATACACTTCATCACCCAAAGAAGGGCCTCGACTTCTGCATTTAGTGGAAATAGATTTCTATGGAGGTTGGCAGCTCATATGGTTGGCGGTTCTCCACTTGATGATGTACAAAACTATCCTGGACCGGAGAACTTATCACTTTCTTTCCATGATCCATCCACAAAACAACGATATCAAGAATAATTCAATTCAAGTGAAGCATCCCTCACTCGAGATCGAGTCACCGATAGAACCTTGATTTTCATTAATAAGCTCTATTTGAGCTGATTGCAACAATTCTGCCTCTTTTTTCGCTAACTGTAGTACCTCTAACGGGTCATTGTCTATACTTTCAAATAATTTTTCATTCCTTGCTTTCCAAATATGCAAGATAATCCATGGGAAAGCTGATGAATCGAATTCCGAAGGTATTCTCCGAAATAAGTGATCCAAATTAATAAAAATAGAGTCCGTGGGAAAATTCCCCATGACCGTAGGAATCTGTGAAAGCGCCCAAATCTGCCGTGCCGGATGGTATTGAAAGAGTGTGTGATTGATCGTTTCCTCTGATGCGCCACATCGCACACATTCTGTGTCACAATCAATTCCTCTTTTCCGCAAATTTTTCCGTAACCAGTACTCAATCCGCTAAAATCCATAAATTACTATCTCAATAAATCAATAATGTACAATAATCCGGATCAATTTATATACACATAAATTAATCAATTTAGAAAAATGAGCATTTTTTAAAAAGGGTTTCAAAGAGCGGTCAATTCTAACAATTTCTTTAAAATATTTACCTACAATAGATATTTTGAAATAAAACAAATGTTATTTACAACTTTACTTTATTTTAAATCATTTATGCTCGTCAACTTTATTTACAAACAAATTGTTTGGGCTCTATCTCGCTTGCTGTGAAAGTTCTCGTAGCAAAATAATCGCCAGCCCAAAATATTTCTTACCATTTAATTCATATGAGTTAGTTTTAGACTATTTTGAGATTTAATTTTATAATAAAACACTTTTGATTTAGAAATTTATATAGATTTTAACATATTTTTACAAGATTTATGATGAACTTTAATTAAAATATTTTACTTTTAACATCTTTTGAGCTACTTTTCTAGTTTCTATGTGAGATATTGTTTAAAATAAAAATGGTTAGTGTTAAGTTATTTGCCAATTTTATTAAACCAAATCATTTACTAAATTTTCCAGTCAACGCTAAATAATTCTTGGGAAAGATTTATTACATTTAGGAAATAAATCTACTAGACCCCCTTAAAATTAAAAAAATATTGCTTTCCTTATGTTAATATATATCTCTCCTAATTCCAAAACATAATCTTAAATATATTAGCTCCGCCTCTTATTTTTTACTGTCCTTATCTTGCAAAAAAAACAAACAACGACATGACGACGGCCTTCGAGAAAACCAGAAAATAATCTCGAGACGAGATATCAGTGTTTTACTCAAAAAAGTGAAACTCTAATATCATTGAACTCCTTCAATTTCTCAAAATTTGTGTTCGTTTATTGTGGATAACGGTAGGCACGAATTTGATACCCTGAAATTTTGGGATATTCGGATCAGGATCCGTTGGATCCGTGAACATCCTCAAGTATCCGGATCCTCAAAAAAGAGAGGTTACAAATACTACAATAATAATATTTAATATTTCATTTTTTAAAGTTAAATTAAAAATAAAATAAAATATAAATATTATATAAATATATCAAAATAGTTTTTTTAAAAATTACTGTAGACATTTTTATTATGTTCGTTTTTAAAATGTTCACCAACTGCTGTAAAAAAAAATGATCACTAACTTTTCAATATAGTTTATTTTTGTGATATTTTAAACAAATATAATATTTTTATAAATTATATATAAATCTTGCAAACTCAATTTTATTTTTGCTCAAACGATACTAAATTTTACGAAAAAATGATAAATCCATTTTATGCTCACGGCATGGACGAAAGTTTTATAGATGAAAGTGTTGATCTTTGTATCAGAAAATGAAGTCGAAAAAGAAGGATTTCGGTGGTGGTAGAGATATAATCAGTGAATTACCAGACGAACTGATATGTCACATCTTATCATTCCTTCCAACTAAAGAAGCTGCTTCAACTAGTGTTCTCGCCAAAAGATGGAAGCCTTTGCTTCGGTATGTACCCAGTCTTGACTTTGGTAACTCTTTGTGTTTCCCTCCTGCAAAGACTTACGAAGAAAAGAGAACGAATGCTAGAAGTTTTATGCGGTTCGTGGATGGGGTGTTGGCTTTGCAAGGGAATGCTCGGATTAACAGATTCCACTTTAAGGGTGAAGATATTATCGATGAAATGTGGGTGCTGGATTGGATACAAAATGTGGTGAAACGTCATGTATCAGATATTCGTCTATACGTCTCTTCCTTTTGGGATGGTTTTGACTCGAGTTTTTATCCTCTGCCTCGAGAGATTTTTGTGAGCCAAACACTGGTTACGCTAATAATAAATTTTGAAGGTGGCGTCAACATTAGTGTGGAAGGAGCTGTTTCTCTTCCGAAGCTCAAGACTCTCCATCTTCATTATTTCAAGATAGAAATGAGTACGTTTAACAAGCTTCTTTCTGGTTGTCACGCACTCGAAGAATTAATGCTGCTTAATTTGGTGTGGGATAAGTCTTCGGAACCTGAACCTTGCTTTGCGACGTCCCTGTCTATCCCAACCCTCAAGAGACTAGAGTATTGTCGTTATGAAAGAGATGATGAGGCTAAAGATAAGGTTTCATTGTCATTTGATAGTCCAAATGTGGTCTACCTAGAATATTTTGATTGTGTTGCGGATAGGTATCAACAAGTGAGTTTTGATTCGCTTGTTGAAGCTAGACTAGGACTTCGACTGACATATGATCAGGTCCATAACCAATGGTTGGAACCAGAATATTATTTCTCATCCAAGGAAAAGAGTAATGTAACAAAGCTTCTCACCGGAATATGCAATGTCAAGATCCTCTACTTGTCTGATGAAACTCTTGAGGTCAGTCCAATATTTCTCCTAATCTTTTGTTAATTGCTACTCAAAAAAGCAAAAGAAGAAGAAACAAAACAACCTGTATATTGATTAATTAGTCTTGTTTCTGTTATTAAAGCAAATGGTTAAAGGCTTGACTTGATTTGGTTTTGGTCTTTCAGGTACTTGGTTGCTGCCTTGATACAATACCGGTATTCAACAACCTCATTGAGTTAACTATTGAGACTAGACCAGATATAGAATGGAAATCATTGCCAGCTATACTCTATAGTTGTCCAAATCTAGTAACCCTTGTTTTCGAGGTACTATACATACACAATCCTTTAAATCAACCCTACCATGTTTTTCAAAACACACTTAGATTATGAAACTGTTTCCTTTATGTTTCAGGGAATCCATCACATATATTCATATAGATGTGAGGACGAAGACGGGTGCTTATGCAGATATCCTACTGATTTTGGGGGGGGGAGTAGTCGCTCGTGCTTGCCTATCATCAAGTCCGGTCAAGGTTCTAAAGATATTGAACTTTGGTAAAATTTGTTATGTGGACAGTGAAGACGATGATGAAGATGAGGAATTTGTTTATTGCTTAAGGGATCAGATAGAGCATGTCGAACACTTCATAGAGAAGATGCCGAATCTTGAGCAAGTGATATTGCACTACTATACATCAAATGATGAAGATTTGATGATGAAAGTGTTCAAGAAACTTGAGAACCTTCCAAGAGTAGCTTCAGCCAACTGCAAAATCCAACTAATCTCGGATAACCTCAGCTTATCATCTAATGCGTCCGACTAAATGGAGTCATTGTCTTTAGAAGATCCTTGTAAAGACAATGACTCAATCCTATGATCATCTTTAAAGACTCTTTTCTTTTCTTGTTTTGGTTTTAGATCTAAACTCTTGTTTTACTTCCCTTAATGACTTGTGTTTAATGTTTCTCCATTTTCTTCTTATGATCTCATCTTGTGTTTCTCTCTCTCTCTTCTGCTATATTAATTATGTTAAGAAAATTAGCACTAGCTCACTGTTCTCTTCTTGAAATGGATCACAGTTTGTTGATGATAATAATGAGTTAACGTTGGTGATACTGAAACGGCAGCGTTTAAAGTTGGGCCCAAATGAAGCCCAATAATGTGTATTGGGCTAATTTTTTTTTGTAAAGTGTTTTATTTATTTCACACTCGTTCGTCTTCGTCTAGAGAGAGATGGCAACGGCGTCGTTTAGGTGGATTCTGCAGCTTCACAGAGACGTACCAAAAGCTGCTCGATTCTATGCGCAAGGTCTCGACTTCTCCGTCAATGTCGTCACTTTACGCTGGGCTGAGCTCCATTCTGGTCCTCTCAAGCTAGCTCTTATGCAATCTCCTAGGTTTTATTTCCTTCTTTGTTCCATTGTTACTCAATGCACACAAACTGTTTGATCATTTGCCTCAATGAAAACTTTTCTGAGTTCATTCCTTTAAAATAAATTTTGGATTTGGGTTTTTGTGTTACGCTGTTTGTCTCTGAGAAGACGTCTCAAAGACTTTCTTTTTCGCAGCGATCATGTTGCTGAGAAGGGATACTCATCGCTTCTATCGTTCACAGTCACAGACATTCATGGCCGGCCCAGACCTAAAGCCCATCAAGCAGGTGCTTTAGGCATCAGATTATATTTTAATTTTAAGGGGCATCATTTGTTAGAAAAAGTCTTGTAGTTCAGTGGTTATTGTCTCATCTATCAGCAAGAGGCTGCAGACATTAATACAACAGTGACCAAACTTATGGCTTTGGGAGCAGAATTAGATGGCACTATCAAGTATGAGATACATGGAAAGGTAAAAATTTCTTATGAAGATGTTCAAGTTTCATTTAGGAGTTACCTTCTGAAATGGGATTTGAAGAACTTTTGTGCTTGTTTTTTGTTTAACTAGGTTGCGGCTATGAGATGCCCTGATGGTTACATGTTAGGGCTTTATGAGGCTGCATAAGCATATGGATAGAAATAGAATTGAAGCCTGAAAGAAAACCAATTCTGCATAGAATAGGTTTTGTTTTAAGAAATCATATTCATAAGCTCTTTGAAGCTTTTGTTTACTTCTAAGAAACCAAAGCCACTATTAGAGAAGTTGAGAAAGGTGAAACTTTGAGGCCCAAGAGACCAACCGCCTGTCCCGCATTTGGTTTATAGGATGCGGCTATGAAGTTTATTGAGTTGGACATTGTACCATGAACTGGGGATCCTAAACTCATCTCATGGTTGATAAAGATTTGTTATTTTCTGCCTCGCTTGATCGATTACAGAGAAATTATGATTCTATGTCCTATGTCGTTACGATAGGGACCAAAGAGACTAATAGGCAACTTTTACATGCCACTCAAATTTTCTTTGTGGGAGTTTTGTTTATAAATTGGTTCATGTTCAAGTTGCTCTTCACATTGTTTCTCTAGTAAGCTTTTCTCAAGTCAATTTTGTCCTTCATTATATATAATATCCTGAAAGTGACAAATTCATTTCTACACAATGCTTTGAAATTGACAAGATCCATTGAAGTGGACTTAATGGATTTTTGTTTAGACCATAATTATCGCTGTATCTGAGAGCATGTTCTTAGATTTTAAAATGACTAGAATTTGGGTTTTGAAGGCTAAGATCGGGCGAAGTGGTCTTGGGCTGGATCAGTTCTTGGCCCGCTCTCGCTGTGACGTGGCATGCGCGGATTGGGTAAGAATTTTGATATCGAAAATATTTTTTCATTTGGGGCAAAATCGTTTCAACACTAGGGTTCTGTTTCTCTCCAGCCTCTCTCGCGGCGATTGTTGCCGTCGTCGATAGTTGGCCGATTTCGCACCGATTTCCGGTAAAATCGGAGCCTAATCGATCTTTGCTTCGTTCTCTGCTATCCCTTCTCGTTATTCCTTTTATTTTCCTCTTCTTTTTGCTGATACACCATCTCTAGGGCGACAAAGATCTCCGACGATCTCGAGGCCACATCCGACTTCTCCGATTGATTTCGCCTCACCCATCTGGTGTTTCATCGTTTCCTCTTTCTCCCAAAGCCGTAGGTACGTGTTCTCCGAAAGTCTGAGATTTATCGTTTCATCGTTTCATCCGAAAGTCTGAGATTTAGAGGATTTTGTTTTAGAAGTCGATGTAGGTTTAGGTTTGGGTTTAGTATATGGGTTTTGTTGCTTGTTGTTCTCATTAGAAGAAAATTAGGTTTACAAATAACAATGACATTCGAGTTAAACTGTGAGAGTTATAGTTTTTTTATGTGTATCGTGTCTTTTTTGCTTGATTAAACTGACCACAAGTGTTTGTTTTGGTTGTGAGACATGTAGGTGAGGTAGCTCTGAAGTTTAAATCGGAGTAGCAACACCAACAACCATTTCCTGCCAACTATAAGGTAATTCCCTACTCAATATAGTTGTGATTAGCTGCTGAAGTTTCTAGTTTAGAGTTCTTGTTCTTGTTTTCTGATGATTGAGTAAACTGGAGTATGTATGTTGTATGTCTCTTGTTTTCAGATAGTTGAGTAGTGCTTTGTTAATAAGTGGTGAAACCTATTCCTCTTTGAAGTTAACGAAAGTGTGTGTTACTTGGGAGGATAACATTCAAATTTACTGAACTTTTCCTTTACTTGTTTTACTGGTTATTTGATGATTGAAATGGTGGCTGGTTACTTTGGATGTGATGAATGAGCTTTCTTGGTTGTAAACAGACTAGTAATGTCTGTTTAACTGTCTAGTTGTGGAAAGTTATAATAAATACTGATATGACCTTGGTAGTTCAAGGTTAGCTCTAGTTATGAGTTTGCTACTTTAAAGCTTTTTTGGTTTGAAAGTGTCTTTATACCTGATTTGATTGTGTTAGGTAATGATACTTTAAGACTAATAACTAGTTTAACTTACCTCTATTAAACCAGAGGTATGTTAAATTCATTCTCTCCTATTCTCTTTTCTTCTATCATATCTCCTCTTTGAATCTCTCCTTTTACCTAAGCTTTTACTTCTCTTCCTTCTATTAAGCTGTCGGATATGGATTCAAATGACCATCCAAATAACCAGTGTCAATCTCAACCATACTATAGTCTCCAAAACTTCCCTTACGGCAAATTTTCTTCCAATGCAAACATTTCCTTCTCTCAAATCCCTTCTTTTAGTTCACAACCGAGCTCACCACCAGTTCAAGCTGCAAGTCAACCAGAAAAGACACCAAGGGAGAGAAGGATTTGGACCAGCCAGGATGATCTTGTTCTTATAAGCGGTTGGTTATACACATCAAAGGATGTGATAATTGGGAATGACCAAAGGTCAGGGGCCTTTTGGAAGCGCATAGGAGAGTATTATGCTTCTAGTACTCATGTACTAAATGGGGCTGAGCCAAGGCTCCCTGACCACTGTAGGCAAAGATGGCAAAAAATCCAAAAGATGGTGGCCAGGTTCTGTGGATTTTATGCTGAAGCATTTAGTGAGAAAGCTAGTGGCATGAATGATTTGGACATTATCAACAATGCTCACCAACTCTACTATCAGCTGTACAAGAAGAAGTTCAGTTTAGAGTATGCATGGAATGCGCTGCGCTACGAACCAAAATGGTTGAACTTGGAGCCTATGAACCCTACTCCAAAGACAACCAGCTCTAACAAAAGAAAAGCCGATGATGCTCCACCATCTGCTGGATCAAATGTTTTTGAGGAAGAGAGCAGGCCACCAGGAATAAAGGCCATGAAAGCCAAGAGGAACAAAGGGAAAGGCAAGGTTGGACCAGCTTTTGCGACTGATGATAACATCTGGGAGAAGAAAGAGAAGGATATGGCTCAGAGGGAAAAACTCCAAAAGATGTCTGTTTACAAGACTCTCCTTGCAAGGAGTGAATCACTGGATGAAGATGAAAAAGTTCTTAAGAAGAAGCTAATGGTCGAGCTGTTTTAAATTAGGGAAAAACTAAGTTCATTTAACTATGTCTGATATGTCTGATTTAACTATGTTTTTCATTATGCATATGTTTCTGTTAGCTAAGTATGTGTGTTTGTAAATGTTATACTTCTATGTAACCTATCTGAACCTTGTTCAACTTCTATGCTTATATTTATAATGAATCAGTTATGTTAATTGAGGTTTGGTTTCAGGTTCAAGAAGACATGGGACTTGATTCTATGGCTCTGAAGAGGAGGCTGATAGCTGTTACTTTGGAGGCCCATTCACCAGTTTGTGGACCTTTGGTAATGTAACTTTTGGATTGTGAGTCACATGACTTTGTTCCTTTTGGTATCAATCGAGTATGTAAGCTAACTTTTGCAAATTGTAATCGAAAATGTAATGTCAACAGAGTCACATGTCAGGTTTGGATTGTAGGCGAGAGTCACATGTGTTTGGATAGTAGTATTAAAGCGAGAGTCACATGTGTTCGGCTTGTATTATTAAAGCAAGAGTAACAAAATTTCTTAACATATATATGTGATTCCTACCTTCGTTTCTCTCATCAAAATCAAACATCCCATAACTCTCATAAACACTACAAAAATCCCTTTCTCTCCTGTCTTGGAAAAACACTTCTCTTCTCTCCTTCTCTACAATTTTCAACCATATAAACCATTTCAACCATTCCGTTTTTATGGCATCGTCTTCCAACAATTTTGACTTTCATAATTCATCTAGTAGTGATGATGATTTTTTTGACCAATATATCGACGCACAAATTGATAATCTATGTGATGGGATCGAAGAGGTTATTCCGACCGAAAGGAAGAAGCGTACTTATATAGAAAGAAATCGGGAAGAAGGGCACGAACAGTTGTGTAAGGATTACTTCAATGATAATCCGACTTTCACGGAGAACCTATTTCGCAGAAGGTTTCGCATGAACAAGCCATTGTTCCTGCGTATTGTGAATCGTCTCGCAGCAGAAGTGTCATATTTTCAACCAAAAAAAGATGCCACTTTCCGGAATGGTATATCACCGCTACAACAATGTACTGCAGCAATTCGACAATTAGCATATGGGGTTGCGGCCGACTCGGTTGACGAATATGTACGTATTGGTGAAACGACGGCACGTAAATGTTTGGAACATTTCGTCGTTGCAATAGTTGATTTGTTTGGCACTGAATACCTACGTCGACCCACAACAGAGGATCTTGAAAGGCTACTCTTTTATGGAGAAAAGCGGGGTTTTCCTGGGATGGTTGGAAGCATCGACTGCATGCATTGGAAGTGGAAGAATTGCCCAACCGCTTGGAAAGGAATGTATTCACGAGGGACCGAGAAACCAACAATTGTCTTGGAGGCGGTAGCTTCACAAGATCTCTGGATATGGCACGCCTTTTTTGGAGCGCCAGGTACAAGTAACGATTTAAATGTTCTTGCTCAATCCCCAGTATTTAATGACATTATTTACGGTCGAGCTCCCCAAATGAACTACTATGTCAACGGAAGGGAGTATAATTTGTCTTACTATCTGACGGATGGAATTTACCCCGAATGGGCGACATTTGTGAAATCCATCCAACGACCACAACACCCGAAACATCGTTTGTTTGCAGAACATCAAGAAGGTGCACGAAAAGATGTTAAGCGTGCATTTGGAGTCCTGCAATCTAGATTCGCCATGATTAAAAATCCATGTCGGTTTTTGTCGAAAGGTAAAATAGCATATATTATGAGAGCATGTCTCATACTCCATAATATGATTGTCGAAAATGAACGATATTCATACACTCTATATGACAAAGAAGAATTCGAACAAGACGAGATTCATACGTTTTCAGTCGAAATGCCTACAAATCTCGAGGGTCTAGGTGATGGTCACACAAGAATTCGTGATAGACAAGCACATCACCAATTAAAAGAGGATTTGATTGAGAATATATGGACTACATTTGGTAATGAATAATTTTTTTAAACTTTGTATTAATTAAATAAAATGTTTGTAACCTTTAATTAATATGTTTGTTTGTTTTTAATGTTTTTCATTTATATATTTAATGTTTTTTTTTGTGTAATAACTAATTCGAATAGTATTTTGTGTTTTATTTTATTTCCATCTCTATTTTAATATAACTTACTTTTTTAAAAAAAAATTTCAATTTTTAAATAACATTTAAAGTTTTTGATTATTAAATTATTATTTCTTAAGATCTAAACATGTTCTACCCTTAATCAATTACTCTACAAAAGATCTTAACTAAAGCTCTTATAATATTTTAATAATATTTTCAATCTAAGATCAATCTTCAAAGATCTCACGTTGCATATGCCCTTAGTGCTTTTGTAGTAGTTGAAGGGTTGACTAATGTTGTTAGGTCAGCATTTTACAAAACTGCCCTCAAGTTTTGGAGCATTTCTACTTTAGTCCATGCCTCCATCGTTTTAATTGATTTTTATGAAGTGGGTTGATTTTTCAAAGATCTTGTCAAGATTATGATAAATTGGGGACCATTATGTTTGTAGTTGGTTACAAACAAATAGAACAAAATTGTGCACCGAATCCTAAATGTTGGACATTACCAATGCACTTTCATCTAGTGCTTAATTACTTAGAGATATTTAAAATTTCTTACAAATAAACTTTCATTGATTAAACTTTGAAATTTCGACATGCAATGGAAGAATGGAATCGCCCCTTTCAAATATGACAAAATACTAGGTGGTCAAATCGTGTACTTCGTATATTTAGACATTTCCTCATATACTTTCGGGACAATAAAAAATAGTTTAAAAATAGTTAAATAGTGTGGTGCCATCCGTAGCGCCGGTCCGGTAAAATCCGGGGCCAAATACGAAAAAATATTTGGAACCTTTTTGAGAAACAAAAATTACTACTTTGTTTTTTTGGCTAATTATAGGACATTCATAATTTTTATTTACTAATTGTTTTTAATTTTTGGACATTGTTTAAAAATTATGGGATTTTTTTTTACTAATTATGAGACATTTTTCTGTTAATTATGAAGCATTTTTGTTAATTTTGGGAATTTTTTTTGTTAATTTTAGAGCTTAAGAAAGAAAAAACAAATCTTACCACAATGGGCCTCAAAATTTGTGAGGCTCAATACAAATGTATCACACAAATTGGTTAAGAGTCAGGCCTGGCCATCCGAAAATCACTTGTTTGATTAAAACTAGCGTTTTATATAAAACTTGGTTAAAAATAAACAAAAAATTATAGGCAAACAGAAGTTGGAAAACATATTCGAGTTTACACCATGTCGAAAAAGATCAATGCATAATGTAAGATATCGGTTTTTAAGCAAGATGTAGTGAAAAACGATGTAAATGCGAGATTTTGTAAAACGGAAAAGGCCAAAGTGTCTATGTTCTACCAAAAAATGATCTCCTTCAAGTGAAAGCGATCAAGAGTATCATGTAATCCAGATTTGTAATTTCGTATACGAGTTCAAACAGTCGTCACTCTAGAGAATAACTAAATTCTTTTCAATTTATAATCCTTATTCTTAAGAAATAACTAAGAGAGGAAAGAAATAAGTGGCACACATGGTTTGTGAATACATATGTTATGGAAAATAGAAACTTAGTGACAATTATCTTAGAATAATTAAAGACACAAAAATACTCTAAGAGATTTGTTTAACTGTACCCAACTAAGCTATTAATAATTATTGTACATTCTCAGGTGTTGCTTTTCATCACACTTTATTGTCGTTTATTATAACTTATAAGAGAGATTTTGTGATGTCACATCGTCTCGCACATACATACACATATGAATGTAAAAAATGTGTATAATATAATGAGACCTGCATTCTTCTCTTCATCACCATTGTCTCTTTTTCGTGTGCCAATGGGATTAAAGTCAAATGCCATAATTCACCAACAATATTCTTTGTCTCATCATGTTTGTGAAATGGTGTATTCTACTACCTGAATTCGTATAAAACTATATATCATTTTAATAATTTAGCGTTAAACCTGACGTCCAATAATGGGTTGATATAGATTCTAAACCAAAAAAGCTTCACTAAGAGGATATCAATCAAATTTAAAACTACGACATATTATGATTTAGCTGTCAAATTCAGACGTTCACACAATCTAAGCATATGTTGAAATTTCAACATAACTAATCTAACTCATGCGTACGTGTCTTAAACCAAACCAAACCATTTGGTAAGTGATCAAAGCTATACATATGTGCAACTTCGCTTCTCAGAGGACTATACCACGTGTCAAAAGTCAAAACACAAGAAATCCGTACACTTGTTAATTAGAAAGAACAATGAGTAAGAAAATTAAAAATTAAAGAAAAATATATACACACTCTATATTATTGATCCTATTAATAAAGTGGATTGGAAAAAGATTGTCACCTATATATGGCATACAATTGTATGCTTTAAAATAGCATAGTTTTTTTGATACTTCTAATAATTAATATAAAAATGGTATCTTATTCTTAACTAAGTCTACGCAAATACATATAAATATATATATATATATATATGAACTTTAGTTAATTAATTAAAACTCTTTTGTGGTATTCGGTGGAGTTGAGGCATCATTACAAGAATCTAAACATATATTAAGTCATGCTCCATGGATTATTATAATTAACTTTAACGAAATGATAGTTTTGATTATGTATAGATTACACTCAGCAACCCCGATTTAAACAATGCTTATTTTCTTCAAAATTAATTCAAATTTCAAGTGAATGTGATCAAATTGTAGATCAATGCATGATGATGATGTTGACACTCGTCAAATGTCGATCTTAATGTACGAGTTTGCCCTCATGAGGGTACTAGTAGCCGAGGGTACTTTAGTCATTAAAGGGCCTTTTTTCCAACAATGAAGAAGACATATCTAGGAACTTGTTGCAGTGAAAAGAGATCAAGACCCGAGGTGATGTTGTCGTTGAACACTGAGATCTCTTTCTCTGTCGCCCTCTTGTAAATTTGATACTTTACAGCCCATCTTAGGGTTTTATTTTCAAAACCCTAATTATTCAAACACATGTAAAGAAAATTGTTTTTGAATATATTTCATATCACTTTTCTTAATTTTCTTATAATCTGATTTTATGGATCAAAAGCTAGATTCATTTCTGAACTTACAGTTGGGCGTAGTAGCTTGTGATAGCTTAAAGCTATTTTGCAAACAAGTCACCTTTTATTGAGCGAAAGCTAGACACATGATAAATTTTACATGAAATGCAAAGAAATGAAAAAAATACATTTTGATGAACTAGTTAAACCTTATATTGGAAGATTGTTTTTGCTTTCAGTAGTGAAACTTATTTGATACAAAGAAAAATATAAAATCTTCGTAGATTGGACTCGCAGATGTTCAAGAAGGTCCATGAGTGAATATCCTGCAAAAGATCACTATAAACACTCATATAAGTCCAGTGTCAGACTTATATATTCATATTCATATAAATGTTATCTTGAGTTATACACATGAATTCAATGCTTGTATATATAAATGAAATGTGTACGACCGAGAAAAAATAAAAATAGGGAGCTCCCTTCAGTCCAAGCATAGAGAAGTGAAGACTCAATTTGTCTCTCGCATCATTCATTCATTTACCATATGAGAACATGTTCTTTCATTTGGTATTTGGATGAATGAGTCGAGAGTCAATTAAATCTCACATATTACTCCATGAGTGGACCGAAGAAAGCTCTCTTCCTTCACCAACTCAACATCTATAACCATATTAACATTTCTGTTACTAAATATATGCAAGCACATGTAAAGAATTTGATTATACTATATATATATAGCATAAAACAATAAAACAGTGAGTTAGATAGCCCATGTTTGTGATTCTTCATGCCATGATCTTCTTTTATGTGTGTGCTAGAATCAACTCTAATCTTCAAGATAACCCTAGATGACCATAAATTAATTTGAGGTACCATATGACTTTAACTTAAAAAAAAAGGTTTATGTGAGAGAAAGAGAGGAGACAAAAGAGATGAGAGAAGAAGAGATGTCTAAGAAAATGAAGGAGTTATGGCTTTTTATAGAAAAAACGAAGGTAAACATAAACCGGCAAAACCCACACAATGTTTTATGCATTTTTTTTTTGTTGCACTAACAATTCGAATTATATATATGTTTACTGAATAAGTGGGTGGTTAATATTTTCTTCACGTTTTTGTTTGACTGTTTTAAGTTTTATTTTCTGCATTTATAAAGATATTAGGGTCAATTTTCTTTATTATCACTTTAGTGGTTAGTCTTTACACTCTCAATTGCTTAGTAATTGACTAGACGAGTTCTACAAAAATAAGAAGAAAAAAAAGAACTAGGAAATTAAAGTTGACAAAAAGTTAGATCATATTAGCAATCTCATGTCATAATAAATTTTTACGATTAAGAAATCAGTATAAACTATTAAATTTTATGGATTTATAACTCAAAATAATGGATACTAATAAATTGATTAATTATAATTTCCTATGCTTAAACTTTAAACACATGAACTATTATGAACTATTTACAAAGCTATATCAACGTAGTTTTACGCTGACAAAAACCACTAAAACTAGTTTACATGATCGAATTTTGAATGTTTACAACATTTTTACGGTGACAATATGTCAAATTTTATATTTTCTTATCAATTGATTTTTGTTGTACCAACCACCATCAATTCATTTCCTAGTGTACGGGGTTCAACTAGCGGAGACTCTTCGAACAGGGAGGGCCACAATGTAACAATTTTTCTATATGTATATATATATATATATATATATATATATATATTTGAAAACTATCCTGTTTTTGAGTTATGATTTGAAAATTACTCTTTTTCTATTTTTAATGAAAACTACAATCTTTAATATGTAAAATGACAATTTGTATTAATTTAAATTTAAAGCTATATTTTAGTAAATCAAAACAAAACTCGAATTTAGAGAAAAAAACATTAACTAAATTTGAAA